TTTATGCTTTTCTATGTTTTTGTTTGTTTATGTATGTTTTGTGTTTGTTGTAAAAAATAAAAAATTTTATTAAAAAAAAAAAAAGAAAATAGAGGAGGAAAGGCAGACCCACAAAAGTATTCCTAAATCCAGAATTACCTTCCATTCTTTCAAATCGTGGTCCATCAGTAGGAGTAGATGTCCTTTGGCCTTACGCACAGTTAGTTTAAGGATACAGTCAAGCAGTAGTGGTTTCTGCTGTGATCCTGATGTCCTAACCTTTGTCAACAGCTACAGACTGCCCTTCGTCCAGGTTCCGCCGTCGTCGCTACTTAGATTTTCAGTTGGTGAAGAAAGCAAGCAAAGGTACACCCCTCCTCCTCCTTCCACCTGCACTGCTTTCTCACACCCTCTCAGTTATCCACTTTGTCCTAAAAATCCTATTTAGAATCACCGTAGGAAGCTGCTTTATATGCATTCTGTTCAACCATCTGCTTGGTGTTATTTCCTCTGACTGATGGAAACTACCAGATCTCTGTTTGAGAGAGGACTTCCTCATTGCCTGCTACCTGTTTCTTGTTTACAGAAACAAACAAGCCTGGAGACGTTCAGTTCTGCATGCAAACTGTGTGCTGTACCAGTCACCTAATCCTAAAGGATTTAGGGATCATCTGAATTTACCTACTGGATTTATTTCCCATAATGTGTAATGGTTGCTGCATACATCTATCTCCTTCTTAGACTTGCACGTTGGTACTGTTGTATATGGCTCCCCTTGTACATGTTCCTCTTTCTCCCTCCTTCCTAAAGCCAAGGAATATCTGAATCATGTCCATCGGAAGTGCTGCGAGGATGGCATGACAGAAAATCCCATGGGCTATTCCTGCACACGACGAAGTCAGTACATCCTGGATGGCCCTGAATGTATTCGTGCCTTCCTTGACTGCTGCCACCACTTCTTTGGCAGCACAGTAAAAACCAATGGAACTTTCCATGAAAGTAAGTTTCCTGCCATTTCTCTTATGAATAATTTTAATGATTTTTGCATAAATTATCTTATATCTTCTAATATACAATGTTTTGTTTTGTTTCCCAAAACATTTTAATGGAAACCTGATCCCTATAGCGGCTCTGTTGGTGGATGAGTGAGTCCCTTGAAATCTTGTGCCTATGTGAACTTCAGTGTGAAATCAGTGATGCCTGACAAGTTCTTCTCAGGGCTCTTCCTCATTGCCACATTAACATGCATTCTTCTCATCCTGAAATCAGCAGAAAATATGTGGGCATAACTTGCAGTACCCTGATGGCCAAGTTCTAATCTGCCTGAGTAATAAGGCTTGTGAACGGTACCATCCTTCAGTTTTAATGCAGGACAATTTAAGGGCAGCAATAGTCCATGGGATTTCCTTGGCTCTGTTTGTCCTCCCATTCAGCATCATCAGCTAATGGGAAAAAACTGTGCCAAATGCTGTCCTTAAAGTGTGGTGGGGTGGCTTTGGGGCTGAGTGTGGGGGCATGCCCACGGTGCAGGCTTTAGGCATATTTCCAGTTGCCAGAGTGACAGGTCGCTGGAGTTGATGTCTTCCAGATTGGTAACCTGTCACTTGGGTTGTTTCTGAACACAGGTCAATGGTTGACTGGCATCCAACAGTAGCTCAACTGACACCTCAGTGAAGTAAATGAGTCTTCCTGTCACTTGGGCTGGAAGGAAAGCTGGCAGAACTCTTGTCAATTTCACCCCAAATATCTCAAACCACTAACTTCTGCAAGGGAATGGTAGTGCTGACAACAAATTTCTGTGGTCAGCAGCATTCACAAGCGTATCATGGATTATGCAAAATGGTGTTAGTGTAAGCAAAATGTCACTGCCTCTTTCCCAAAGTAATAAAAGTGCTAAAAAGCACAAAACCAGCAATATACAGTATCTCTTTTCCACTTTAAATTAACCATCAGCTCTTTTTTTATAGATAGCTTTACCAGTCCTTTGAAAGACCACTGAACACATGTTTAATAACAGGTCAGGTAGTCTTTCTGAAGACCGGTATACCAGTATATATAAAGAGTCCACTTAATGCCTGAATAGGACTTCGCAAAACACAGGTCCGACATTAGGAGGGCAGATGCCTTTGTGGAAACCTACTGCCTGGTTTCTCCTGTAGCCCAAGCTAAATTGGCCATTAGAAGGCAGTGTCTAGTGACCAGAGGTTGAGGGGCATGTCTGGAACACCCTCAACCAGCCAGTGGTTGCTTAGTGGATGTATCATCATCAAGATTGTGAATGAGATGTCATGGAGTATTCATGCACCAGGACTTGTGTTAGGAGAAGGTGGAAGGCACTATTGTAAAACCAGAGCAGCTAACAATGAATTTAGGCTGCCACCATGGTGGGCTGGGGATGAGACAAAGATTGTGTCAAACAGACGTGTCTTCTACAATCAATGGGGGGCATCTTCGTGCTACTGTTAGTAGTATGTCAGGATGAGCCCTCAGAGGCAGCTGGCCCTCTACACCTGTCAGTCTTGCAAGTTAGTCTATACAGGAAGCACACCCAAATGAACTATATTGTAAGGTTCCATTAACATAATCTTACAAGTCTGAAAGTACGTTTCTCCCATGTCACCACAGCCCAAGAAACTAGGGAGGGTCTGTTCTGAGATGTTTGCCACTCCCCCATTCCTTCTGTAGGCTCAGCTGCCTCTTACCATTCCCCTGGCTGTACCTCTTCCCCATCTCCCAAGGTCATTCCCACACACCATTATAACACCTTATCTTTACCTGATTGCCCTAGTCTACATTCTCACTTTCTACTGGGCAACAGCGATGCCCAACAGATCTGACTAGTTTCACTGTATGAAATTGAGCAAGGAGCGGCTGGATGCTAATGCATGCCCCTAAAGATCAGAAAGCTTGAAAAGTACTTACTGATGAAAAAGGCAAGTCTGACGAGAGCTGATTCTTTCAATGGTCATGCAGAACTCTAATTTGGTATTAGATTGGGTAAATATTCTTGTTTTTGCCTTTTCTAGTTTGATGTTAACTTTTATCTCTATTAGAGAAAATAGTTGGAGGGGGAAAGCAGTGTGGGAAGTAACAGCTGGCTGCTCATGAGATTTCTCTAATGACCATAGCACTTCACACTATAGTCGATGAGACTCACATAAGCAAGTGTTTGTCCACACAAACTATGCTTTACATGCAGAAATCTAGCATTTCAGGGAAAATGTTTTATTTATTAGGTCCTTTTTTTTTTTTTTTTTAGAAATCTGCAAACTCCACCTTAATTCCCTGAAAATCTTTGAGACTAACCTTGTTTTTTTCCTGGCCTGTTAGTTTCAGAATTCAGAGGCAAAATTCTAGGATGTGATTTGTAGCCTGATATGGTTTAGCCCCAGGTTTACCATTCTAGGAAAAACAAAACCTTAGTTATTCCAAGTAATGAATCAAATAGGATACCTCCTCATGAATCCCAGACTCAGTTAATTTATTGAAATGGTGGAATCAAGCAACTTTCATTTTTAAGCCCCAGAGGACTCACATTGTGTACTTATTATCTTCCTGTTTTCCCCAAATTTCAAGTAACCTGGATCAAGCACCTCATCCCAACATTATGATAATCCTAACCTTAGGATCTCTTCTCTTTTACAATCAGCATCCATCTCTAAGGGATCTGGAAACTTGTTGGTGACAACATTAGGCAAGGAGACCTTGAAGGAAGTCAATGCACCTGGAATCTACTTTCAGGGGATGGTACACTTAACCCAGTCCTCAAATGAAGTCAGCAAGTATGAGGATGAGGAGGAGGAGGAGGAGGATGATGATGAGGATGAGGAGGAGGATGATGATGATGATGATGATGATGATGATGATGATGAAATTGTGTCTCGATCCCAATTTGCTGAGAGTTGGCTTTGGATGGAGGAAACCCTTCCTCTGGAGGCAGATTTCAATGGGTATGGACAAAGCTATTCAGGTGTATCTTTATTTTGTGACATTTGAAAAAAAAATCAGATTCTAACCAAAGAAAGTAAAATTGTACCACGTAAACACATTTTTATTAATTAAGGAGATGACATGTATATACAGCAAAAATGGGATATATTTTTGGCTTTGAACCACGTGGGACAAGAAGTGCCTAGTCTTTCACAAGTTTTTCACAACTTGTTTGCCCTCCAGATGTATTTGACCACAACTCATATCACTCCCTGTCCATAGAACTAATGACATTGATGGCTGGGGATGATGGAACTGTAGTCAAAACCATGTGGAAGATGGTAGATTGAAAAAAGGATGGCCTAGTGTAGTTTGGAAAGCCAAACAGAAAAGGATTATGTCAGAGTCCTATAGGCCCAACCCTGGAAGCATCAGTTTTAAGGCAAGAGTTCCATTGTCCCATTATGCATCCAGAGAAGTAAGAGCCAGTTGGGTCTAGTGATTAAGATCCAGGCTAGAAACCAGGTGACAGTGTTCTGCCTTAGGTATGAAAGCCGGCTGGGGGACTTTGGGCCAGTCCCTCTCTCTCAGCCCACAATGTCAGGCTTGGGCAACAAGCCAGTCAGTAAATTCCTGCCACAACCAATGGATTAACATTTGGTTGATTCCCCCCCCCCCAAAAAAGCGGACCTTGCAACTGTGAGAAAAACGCTTGGAAGAAAAAAAATGCATCCAGAGAAGTAGCACTTTTTCTGGTTTGGTTTAGTGATGACTGACTGGCCCATCTTTGGTTGGACTGTACTTTCTGTTTGTTTTTTAAAAAAAAAACAAAATGTCTTTTGTTAAATAACTAATCTGAAAGGAAGTCTTCCTGATTATTACTTTTCATAGTTTAACTCAGGGTCGCTTCAGCTATTCAAATGGTTGTCCTTTCATCTGACTCCACCCTGCATGTTCCTATGGGAGGTTCAAATGATAGAATTATCCCTTCCTCATAAAACAGTCCTGGATTTATAAAATTGGGATAACAAGGAGAAAAAAAAACCCTTTTCAGGTTCTCTAGCTTCACTATGTTGTGCCTTGAGAAGTCCATTGTTTTTCATTACCTCCTCTTGCACTTCCAGGTTCTCTTCCAAAACACTTCCTTTGTACCTAGAGGACTCCATCACCACCTGGGAAGTGCTGGCCATCAGTCT